ATTTATTTTTTACAAATATGAAATATATTTGACTGATATAGCACCATTTGTTTTAGGTTAAATTAAATATTATGTTATATTTTATGGATTAATTTAAATAATATGTTATATTTTTTTTTATTGAGAATCGACCTTTAGATTATTGAAACAAGATAATGTTACTGTAAATAAACTTCGTAAAAATATTTATTTGATAAAGATTTAGCTTTATACAATTTAAATTGATTGCCGATCGCGCAATTCAAATTAGTTAAAATGAAATTATATTCGTAGATATAACATGTAAAGGACTATCCTACTTGCAAATTACTGATCTTGTTAAAAAAACATATAAAAGTGAATTCATGATATTTCATAGATTCAGAAAATTAAAAAAAACAATTCCCAGTTTTGCATTCCATGATACAAATTTGAAACAGATCAAAAGAGACGATTAAATGAAAATTTAAGTTAGTTTCCCATATCAGTAAAATAATATAGAAACCTCTGGCTATATCCACCAAAGAGCTAATGACATCGTATATTTTCAGAATTCAGTTGGGTTTTTTATCATAACTTCAGCACGTTTTTTTTTAATTTACTTCAATCGTGACAATAACGATGTATAACGTAGATAACAAAGTCATTATAGCAAGCAATTAAGACCAACTAAGATAAATAGATTTCTAGTTTTAATATGATTAAACAATAAACTAATTTATCGCATGATATATGTATCTGATTATAAATTCCCTCATGATTATTTGTCAAAATGAAAATAAATCCTGAGTGTTTTCTGTTTATTTTACACAATATTTTTTTCGCATTATATTTTGAAAAACTTCCCTTTAAACTTTTTGTTTTGCCTAAATTTAGAAGAAAATAAATTTAGTCTTACCAGTAAAAGTAAGGAAAGAATTTTCACAGCAGTGAAAAAGAAATTTTTACAGCAAGAAAAGAATATACGCATTTTATTTCATCAATATTTCTCAATACTTCGTTTAAAAGTACATAGTTATAAAACTATTTATGGCCATACAATTACAATGACATGTTTTAGGTATGAATATCTCGAAAATAATATATTAGTAATCTAAAATCGCATATTTTACCAGAACATTTTTTTGCAAATGTTCTTTATAACTTTTTAGGCTTATAAGTCAAAAATATAAAGAAGAAAATGTTTACATATTTTTTCGTTTGATTTAAATTTAGAATATATTTTCACAGAACATTATTATCCTAGAAGTTAAGTAGGAGAACTGTACAAAGAGCTATGTATAGATGTATTTATTCATCAGACTAACTTTTTTCACTTAACACCGTCAAAATACACAAAACTCAAGATCCTCATTTTCTATCAGGATATCCTTAGATACCATTATAAGCCGTATGAAGGGATAAAAAATGTAACTTGATTGGTCGGATATGATTTGATTTGATCCCATATCATCATATAATTCAAGATGAAGTTGTTATGTTCTGTTTTGAATTACCTTGCTGTTTTTTTCTTCAGTAAACGTTTTAGGGCTAACAACTATAAACGATTTTGAGTATACACACATATCATTGCACTGGGATGTCTTCAGGACAGACAAGTTCGACATGCTCCCAGGTAATCATTCACTTATTTATGTTGTATTCCGAACACATTAGCGTCTGGAGCCCGTAAAAAATGACCCTTCACCAGAGATGATGCATTTCCGATCCTTACATATTCTGGTATATTTGTTTTTCTAGTTGATCTTTTTCTAAAAGGGCCATTCCATGTTTTTACTCATTTGATATAGTATGAATCTTAAAATGTAGCATGCATTTTATATATCTGTCCGGCTTCATATCATCTGATTCATACTTTATTTTGATCCCTCCACCGTGATCTTGTTTAGGACATACTCATTATTTTACTTTGTGGAACCACACCCTGTTTTCGTAGAATGACACGAAAGTGTAACATTGGAGGTTTCATAATCACCGTCATATGAACAAATCCGCAGATGTTTGTTATGTTTTCACCATTGACACGAGTAAATGTTGAATACTGCTTACCGTAACGCCTTTGCTAGGGTACGTGGAAAGATACAATCACCTATGCAGTGAACTCCCCTTATCAGTACAGAAATATCTGCTACCACACATAGACCTAATTTTTTACATTAGCTTGTTAAAAGTATTTATAAGCCTTTGAATTTATTTTTCATTATTTTGTATATTTTTTGTCAAAAATAAAAAAGGGAGAAGAAAATGACGTTAGATTGTCCATGTTCATTTGTTTGTTTGTTTGATTGGGTTTTACGTCCCACCGACACAGTATAGGTCATATGGCGACGTTCCAGCTTTACCGATGGAGGAATACCTCAGATGCCGTTTCCTGCATTATTTCAGGTACGAACGGACACCTGAGTAGAACCACTGACGTTCAGTAAGCTAGGTGGACAGCTTCCTCACATGAAAGAATCTAAAGTTTCTGTCGGGATTCGAACCCACAGCGATGAGGGGCAAGTGGTTTCAAGTTAACAACCTTAACCACTAGCCCACAGACGCCCCAATTTTCTATGTAACGTTGATATTTACATTTGAATTTCGACGTTACGTCATGTGTATTTCATCATCATGGGAAATTTGTGAAGGCAGTGATTACAATCTGCCAAGGGATGTTATCACTGTGTTTAGTTAAGTTAAGTTAATTTATTTAATCATGGCATATTACATGCATGTGATTTAAACTACAAAGAATATATAAAAGATAAACAAAAACATGATGAAAGGTGCACAAGTGCATACAAACACTTATCGAACAATGTGAAACATGTATACAGATTCCCTGAGTAAAAAAAAGAGATCTTTATTATAATGTATTGTCTGACTTTGGAGAATGAGTTATTATTAAATACTTTGTAATACAAGCTTACAGAGTAAAGCAAGTTTAATAAGTTTATTTTTACAATTTATAAGTTCCTTATGAGAGCTTGGGTGGTTAACATAGTAGCTTTGAACATATTATTTTTTATCATAAGATAAACGTGTGCATTCAAAAAGATAATGAAATTCGTCTCCAAGACAATGTTTTGTACATAAGTCACATATTCTATAAGCACGTTCAATATTAAGATATTAACCTTTCTCTATAGGAAAATTATGATTCATAGTTCTAAACTTACACATATAAAAAGGAAAATTTATAGGCAATATATCAATATATTCCTCGAAACTATGTTCTGTCTTATAAGTTCGATACACTTAACATGTTATCTCTCCTTTTAAGAGTACTGAAATAATTATTAAATACTGCAAACTGAATTAAAACTGAAGGTCGTGGGTTCAAACTCAAGTAAGGTTAACGTTACTCTTTCTTTTTTTTTCCCAACATTATTTATGCGTCATTCAGGTCGCATTTTAGTTAACATAGGTATTTATTGGTTAAATAATACCTTATGCTTTCAAAGCCTTATGAAATAAAAATACACTCTAAAATTACTCAAAATTTAACAAGATCAACCAGTATACGTCTAAAAAATAGATTAAGATTGAAAACAGCTCCTTTGATTCGGAAACGTATCCATTACTCGTGAACCGTATGGTAAGTTTTGTTTAAACTTGTTTTGGTGTCCGTGGTTCAGTTTTTATATTACTTATTAGAGTTGTCATACCGTAACACAATTTATATTTTGCTGCTTTAAGCGTTCTTTAGGGATTCCGTTTTTTGTTTATTTTGATATTCTTGCCATAGAAACTCGGGAACGGGACCGTAGATTGCGTTTTCAATCCTGTGACGCCTACATCTCGATATTTTTTTAATATTATCCAAGTGTATGGGCTCTATTATCAATTGAAAACAATCTGTTAGTTTTAAAATTGGTCAAATTTAAGGGTATCATAAACAATATGTAAAGCCTTTACGGATTCTGATTTATGCGCCGCAATATGCGGTTCTGTGATAATTGTAAAGAATAAATTTGAATGTGTATCGCTGAAGACAATGCAACTAGCTACCGGAAAGAAATTTCGATCAGATAAGGGGCAGAGTACCCGTAATTTTATCGACTACCCACAGTAAATCAACATTTTGAAAAACCCCAGAATAGTTTTTGTGAACATTCGAGTACAGTGTTGTTTATAGCCGGGCCGAGCGGAACGGTACACACTCATTTATTACAACAAGGGATTTCTAGCAAGTCATGCGTTCTTTTTCACTGTTTCAAAGAAAAATGAAAGCTAAGTCTTACATAATTACTATGTTAACATATCTAGTGAATACAGTGATGTTTAAGCATATATTATAAAGTTATGTTGAAATAGTACAGAACAAACCACTATTGTAAAAGATACAGTACATACAAATTTAAAGTCTAACTGAAATAAATCTGAAAAATATATAAAAATTTGCCTTTACTTATTATGTGTGTCTTTTTTCAAATGTACATATTTTATTTAATCCTACGTTGACCCTATGGCCCGTTTTGCAAGGAATCATTTTACTTACATGTTGATGTCTACAGAATTATTTAAAAAACATAAGAAAATTTTCTTTCGTTCGGATGCGCATCAATATATCACTTGGGCTATCCCCTCGTTATATAATTCCTTTCATCCGAACTCCAAACACAGATTTTGTTTAGCGATAAAATCACCGTTTGGGATATAATATTATTTCTTAAGTAAAACATCAAAAAATGTTATATAGGCATCAATACTTTCGGTACTAACTATTTACTTAAAGTCAATTAATTTTGAAAGTTTTTTTTTTTTCATTTTGTGTCTTTTGCTTTTTAGCGTTTTGGCGATTTATACTTGTTATCATGTTTTAGTATTTCATATGGAAATTTAAAGTGAAATTTTTTGTGACATTTTGTATACATTTTGCTTCCTTTGTGACAAATAATTTCACATTCAGCGCTATTATTTTCAGTGCATGTTCTTACTTCAATTATAAAAACATTATCATGCATGTAGTTTGCTTTTTATCAGAAAGAAAAGTTGATTCATTTCTAAGGCATAACTTGTATTTAAGATATAAAAACTATTTGTGTTTGATACTTCTTATTTTAATGTCAGAGGAAACGCATGCTGAAAGCAATTTACCTCCTGGGCCATATGCTATGTTGATGCCAACAACCGGCTGTCCTGAGTCAAAAAATCAAGGTTGGAGGACCGGATACATATATCTTGTTTGGCAGAATACAGTCAAAGTCGTAACCTCGGTACCAATGGCCAAACCTGGTTGCAAACAGGTTTCAGAAACTAACGGACATGATATTGCAAATCAAACAGCAAAATGGTTTTACGACTTAACAGAGGACAGCTGGCTAGAAACGTGTAGCAACTTGCTAGGACCTTTTAACCGATTTTCATTCAAACTGAACTTTTGCGTTAAGGATGGAGATGAAAATAGCACGAATAATGAAACCGTTGACTGGCCGGATGGCGATTACGCTATTGTGGCAGCAGGGGGTTGCCCACAAGGTTCTGATGTTTCTAAAATTTTCATTTTGTTTTTCTAGTTACCCTTTTCTTAATTGTTTGACAGCCAGCAAACAATATAATAATTTTGTTTAAAGTATTTTGGTCTTATGTTAAAGTCCAGAACCACATGATGTTGTGATAATATAATTATATCGGATTAATTGAGAAGTGCATGTTTTATTTAATGATATGGTTTTCTACGAGATTAATTAACAAACACTGTTTTATAGATTTTTCTGGGAGAATATGTAACTCACCGACAAAGTTAAATAAGCTTCTAGGCCCATTATACCGAAGAAATGCAATTATTTTTATTTTTCAGAATCTTTTATTTTTTATTTTTTGAATCTTGTTTCAGTTTAAAAAAAAATGCTCATTTGAGACATCGTTTAACTATCTGTTGCCTCTTTTGCTCAGTTGGCAGTTGGTATAATCAAAGTGAATTAGTATTTTGTATGGAAGTCAAATACTAATTTGTCTACATTTTGCTGTCTTTATTGGCTATCACTGCACAATCAGTGCTATTTTTGTCAGTTGTTAGACATCTAATATGCTCTTAATCCATTTTAAACAGTATTCAAAACACATGTATTACATTTCAAAAGAACTAATATGGATTCCTGGGGCATAATGTGCACTTTTGTAAAACGTCGTTCATTTCTCTACATCCATGCTTTCAATAAACGAATTTTTCCTACTTGTTTTTCAAAACAATAATCTTGTGTTACTATTTAAGGTATTTAATTTGTCCTATTTATTCACAGGTTTTTACAGCAAGAAACATTCAATAACAGTCCCAAAACTCATGTCTTGGAACAAGAGTGGGATTCTTCCAAATGTCACAGTCCTTAAAACTCCAAACGCAAGTAAGTACGTAAGCGAATCTTTATATATACGTGTCATCATATTTTTATGTAGTTATTTTATGAATGGCAATCGATCCGATTAATGCTTGGCAGTCTGCCAATGTGTGCGTGTTCCAATAAGATATTGTGCTTAGTTTTATTGTGGTTCATCCGTAAAAATCTACATCAATGCATATTACGCAAGACCCTTATTTTCAGAATAAATATTCATAAGTCTGCTAGCACTATGTGTACAACTTCCAAATATTGTAATACTTTACTTTTTAAACAAGAACCGGTTGAACCGGGTGATGCTCCCCGAGAAGGTTCTGGACACAGGAAAGTATAAAAAAAATTAACAAAGGGCAAAAACTCCAAAATTAGGCAAAGCGGAGTTATGTTTTTTTGCACTGCACTTCTATTCAATGAGATCTATCTATCTATTAAGTTTCCTGATGATATCAGAGTTATGTCCCGGGTAAAAGTCAAAGTGTAAAAATGAACAAAGGGCAATAACTCCAAAATTAGACCAGGCTTTGTTTAGGTTCTTTAAGCATTGCAGTTCTATCCAATGATATCTATCTACCTACAAAGTTTCATGTTGATATCTCTAATAGTTCCGGACAAAAGTCAAAAAGTAAAAGTAAATATAGGGCAATAACTTCAAAATAAGGCAAGGCAGAGTTATGATTCTTTAGCACTGCACATATACCCAATGAAACCTATCTATCTACAAAGTTTCATGTTGATATCTCTTATAATTTTATAGTAATGCCCCAGACAAAGTTCAAAGTGTCAAAATGAAAGGGCAATAACTCCAAAATTAGGCAAGGCAGAGTTATGGTTCTTGTGCACTGCACACCTACTTAATGAGATCTATCTACCTACAAAGTTTCATGTTGATACCTCTTATAGTTTTAGAGTTATATCCCGGACAATGTTCAAAGTGTAAAATAACAAGGGGATTATTCAAAAATTAGGCAAGGCAGAGTTATGGTTCTTGTGCACTGCACACCTACTTAATGAGATCTATCTACCTACAAAGTTTCATGTTGATACCTCTTATAGTTTTAGAGTTATATCCCGGACAATGTTCAAAGTGTAAAATAACAAGGGGATTATTCAAAAATTAGGCAAGGCAGAGTTACAGTTCTTGTACACTGTACACCTACTTAATGAGATCTATCTTCCTACAAAGTTTCATGTTGATACCTCGTATACTTTTAGGGTTATGTCCCGGACAAAGTTCAAAGTGTTAAATAAACAAAGGGGTATAATTCAAAAATTAGGAAAGGCAGAGTTACAGTTCTTGTACACTGTACACCTACTTAATGAGATCTATCTTCCTACAAAGTTTCATGTTGATACCTCGTATACTTTTAGGGTTATGTCCCGTACAAAGTTCAATGTGTTAAAAAAACAAAGGGGGATAATTCAAAAATTAGGAAAGGCAGAGTTAAGATTCTTGTACACTGTACACCTACTTAATGAAATCTATCTACCTACAAAGTTTCATGTTGATACCTCGTATACTTTTAGGGTTATGTCCCGGACAAAGTTCAAAGTGTTAAATAAACAAAGGGGGATAATTCAAAAATTAGGAAGGGCAGAGTTAAGGTTTTTGTACACTGCACGCTTACTCAATGAGATCTATCTACCTACAAAGTTTCATGTTGATACCTCTTGTTGTTTCAAAGTTATGTCCCGGACAAGAAAAGGGGACGGACGGACGGACGGACGGACGGAAAGACGGACGGACGGACGGACGGACAAGGCGGCGACTATATGCTCCCCCGAAATTTTTTCGGGGAGCATAAAAATTTCATTCATGTTGTTTTGTCTACATTAAGTTACGTTTCGTACAATTCGATTTTATTGAGTTACTTTTTTACATGAAAATTGATACAAGTTTTCAGATCATTCGCTTATCCGTTTATCCAAAGTAGTTATGACAAAAGTGGTGAAAGGTGTTAAATCATTTTAACTGATGTCGGACTAAACAATCGCAACAAAAATCGATATTCCATTTAATTCTGAGTATATCTCTTATTAGCATTTGCGTAATTTTTCCGTTTTACTGTATCCTAGTCTATCTATGTAAGAATTCCACATTTTACAGTTTTAATGGGGCACCTTTTTTCAGTCGGAACATCTCGGGCTATTATTCATAATTCGAAGATTGACGAAAAGGGTCGCAAAAGTTGCAATTGCCTATTTCTTATATCGTTATGAAGTCGGAATATTGGACTTCCCTTCTCAATTTTACCAAAATATATTTTGACCATTAAATGACGGTAAAACTGAACTGATTTCATAATTGAGTTATTGTATTTTCAAAAACTAAAACATCAGATTAAACGGATGTAAATAACTTTTGCAAATATTTATTGTCCGTCAGTCATTTTAAATGTCCCCGATCAATTTCGACCATAGTTTGTTTAAATAACATTTTATCTATTTCTCTATTTTGTTTGAATATTTTACTTTTCATCTTAATTTCCCAAGTGGACATGATAAAGTTTAGAAACCTTTTTCCTTTGTATCTTACATATTTGCATTTAGATGGAAAAAAAATCAAGTGCATCGATTTGCCAAACTATATTTACCAATTAATTTGACATTGTTTCGAGAAATTAAATAATGTTTATTAATTCTTATGTGTATATTATTATGATTTTTTTATAAACATAATAATAAATTTTGAAATATTATGTAATTGTTTATAACTTCACTTTAAACCACTTTTTAGATAAAAAATGTATTTGTTTTTTAAAACCATTTCAGTTGCTTTTTAGTAAAGTTGTATTGGTCTAACTAATATTAATTTTAAAAAGTAGAAATAATTTTTTAAATACAAATGTTAAAAGATGTTGTGTAAAAATTACATTAGATATCATTTTTAAGTTATTCATGATAAATCTACTCTCTAAATGTTTTAGTTTAAAGTTTTCCTACTGCAATTCCTTTTTTTCATTTAAAAAACATAATAATAAATTTTGAAATATTATGTAATTGTTTATAACTTCACTTTAAACCACTTTTTAAATAAAAAATGTATTTGTTTTTTAAAACCATTTCAGCTGCTTTTTAGTAAAGTTGTATTGGTCTAACTAATATTAATTTTAAAAAGTAGAAATAATTTTTTAAATACAAATGTTAAAAGATGTTGTGTAAAAATTACATTAGATATCATTTTTAAGTTATTCATGATAAATCTACTCTCTAAATGTTTTAGTTTAAAGTTTTCCTACTGCAATTCCTTTTTTTCATTTAAATAAATTACAACAATCGAATAAGTGAATTAGTAATTACAACATGTCATTTATAAACTCTATTATGTAGCACTAATAGGTTATAATCTTAAAAAACTCTTGGGCAATCAAATAAGTACTAACTCCTATTCACAAAGTCTAATGTAATAATTTGGCGGCCATGCCAGGTAAAATCAAATACAAAGGTAATAAAAAGGGTGTTAAGAACTAAGTTGCAAAATCTGTATATTAAGCCACCCAAAGCTTTTGATAATCAACATTCGCTATTAAATATTTTTTCTTTTATTTTTCAAGTAAAAATGAAGTTGTGTTTAAATCTTAATTTATATTTTTTTCTTCTTAAAATGCAGTTTAATATACCAGCAAAGAGTATTAAAGTCATATTAAATTGTTGATGACTTGATACCTTACAGACGAAAATACGGTACTAAAAATAGTCTTCGCCGCACATTCATACAAAAAATAACGAATATATGAGAAGATTTCACAGTTTGCAAATCAATGTCTGAAGATAGCGATTGCTAACATATGATATATAAACTTTTTTTTTGTTTCATTATAGTTTATCCTATAAACGATAAGAACAAACATTTAATGATATTTTGCAGGCATCATTGCGACTGATTTGTGCGTACATGAAAACAACACCGAAAAACGAACCAAATCAGATCACACCGCATTTAAAGATAATGCTTTTCTCCTTATAAAGGTATCGTATGCATGTTTTTTATTCTTTCGGGCTTTGATAGTATACAGACATTACCTGGTGGCTGATTTGTGCCATTTGTGTTTTGGTCCTGCGACTCCGCCGAGTGAAAAGTTTAATAAATAAAATTTCGATCCGTGCCCCCCCCCCCCGTTTTATTTATCAAATGTCGCTCGCTCCGCACCCCGAGCTTCGAATCTGTTTTTTTTTATTGAATTTCGCCCGCCCCTCCCCCCTCCGCAATTTTAACCTTTTGCTTGGCTTGGAGAACACGAATGGCACAAATCAGACGCCATACTGCTCCGATGAAAGCTAGGTTTTTTTTCAGCCATACTTTATTGCTGTTCTATGTTGTCTGTGGTTTTCTGCTTTCAAACACAAAACATTAATACTGCTTTCATCAAAGTTATGCTGTGATCTTCTTCAGTTATTCTCTACCTATAGAATAATGCTACTATAAAAAAACATTATGTGACCTTCTTTCTGCTTTATTTTACTTATTATAGCATTAAATCGGCTATTTTTCTCTATTTTGCCCATGTAATAACGGGACAAAACCATGTGTTAACATAGTCACGCGCTCTTGTTTAGCCCGGTTTCACCTATGTGCAACACACAAGGCCCAGTTAACAAACAAAAACAATGACGATTTGGCCTGTTTTCCAAAGAGTCATGCGCTCTTGTAATATTGAAATTATTGATTCGAGGGCCTCAATCGCATTAAATACGGCGAGCAGCATTCAAGTAACTATGCCGAAAATACCGCGTATAGACATCGCTGCTAATCTTGGTTGTTGCCCTTTCTAAGAAACGGACAGTTGTCAATGTAAACAAATACCTGTCATTCAGTCTAACCCTCCTATTAACAAACACAAAATGAATATGAGAAAATGTTGTTTTATTGATGTTTATGTTGATAAATGCTCTTTATATTTCTTTAATAGAATGTTTAGTATCTGATTTTTTTTAAAAATTTTGTGTGCTTGAAAAAAAAAAACGATTTTGATGTCACATATCTTTTTTCTACCGTCAATCTGAAATCATTCTAAGAATTTCTGAGGGTCATGTTTTGTCTTGGGTAGAGGGTAGAGTAATATAACGTTGTACTTTTAATGTTAAGCTTTATTAAATCAATTAAAATTCAAAATTTCGTTCGGTTCTGAGAGTAGTAATGGAAATAACGGGTGAGCAATATACTTCTGGGGTAACTCGAAAAGAGCAAATAACCGGACAAAATTGCGTGATAATTGAAATGATTGAAGGTATTGTTAAGATCAATTAAACTTGAAAACTGCGAATAATTGCCGACACCTACTTATCGATTATACTATAATGTTAAAAACATTTATTTATAACATAATTATGTATTTTATTTTTAATCGACCTTTCTGCAGAAGTACGAAACCCGTATATTTCAGTTGCCTGTAGTAGGTTTGGACAGTTTAGTTGCATAGTGTTTATTACCGAATATAGACTCAAAATAAATTACCTACAGACATACAAAGCAAGACATTACTTGTAGAATGATTTCAATAGAAATATCCGAAAACAACGCTAGCGATAACTTGTCTTTGTAATAATTCTATAGATCCAGAAAACACAAACAGTCATATACAAATTAAAGATGGCCGATAATTCAAGCATTGGGGAAAAAGTATGTATTGGTCAATACTTACATGGATTACAAGTAACTACTTAAAATGATTGCGGTAAAGTAAACTGTTTTCGCCAACAAGTAAATTGAATAATATCGAAATCTGATCCATATTTAAATTGACGAAGTTTTAAGACATGTCAGTGCGTAAATAAAAAATACCCACACACATAATCCCCAAAGAACGCCCAAATCGGCAACATTGAAAATGCGTCAGGCTAGGTGTGTTTGAGCCCGATCAAGGTCACCTGACCTTAACGGCCATTTTGTGACGCTCCCGACGAAAACCACTCTATTTTATACATCTGTTCAACGGTCACCTGCTGTCCGCGGTCAACGATCACCTAAAATGCTTCCCGAATCTTAAAGTCGGTCATCTTAAGCGGTCAGCCAGGTGAAACGGCCAGGCAATCTTCTGCGGTCAGCCAGGTGAAACGGCCAGGCAATCTTCTGTCATTTATTTTTTTATTATTTAAGTATTTAGGAACGCATCTCTTCAAAAATGGATCGTGGTATAGAACACAAATTAGAATATCAAAACATTCATCATTTGCGCTCCATAACCTATTTATAGTTTTTAATCAAATTGAATTACCTTTGAAAGAAAAATTTCGTCTGTTCGACAGTTTAGTAGGTTCTATATTAAATTATAATGCATCAGTCTGGGGGTATCATGATGGCAACCACATTGAACAAATACATTGTAAATTCCTTCGAAAATTGTTATGTGTAAAACGATCGACAAATCTATACGGCTTGTATGGTGAACTTGGGCGATATCCCATGAAAACAGCACGGCAATTGATAATTATCAAATATTGGATACAAGTTTTGAAATCAAACAACCCATTAATTATAAATATATACGAAATGTTGAAAAACGACGCAAACAATGGTAACTCATACAACGGTCTTAATTGGGCACATCATATTAAAATTTTGCTTGAAAAAATAGGATTAGGAAATTTGTGGCTTTCTCAGAATTCCAATGATATCAGTTATGTTATTATTAAGCAGCGAATATTAGATATCTTTAAGCAATCGTGGTATACTACAATTAACAATTCTAATAGGTTATCGCACTATTGTTTATTCAAACACGAATTTGAAACAGAGAAGTACCTGCAGTTAAACATGGACACTAAATATAAAACTACAATTACAAAGTTTAGATTATATACAAATAATTTAGCCATTGAAACTGGACGATATAACAATACTGACCGACAACAACGATACTGTACTCAATGTAATATGAATATTATTGAAGATCCTTATCATTTTTTACTTGTTTGTCCTAAATACAGACAGTTACGAATCAAAACTTTCACCCCGTATTTTTGCAGATGGCCATCTATTCAAAAGTTCACTACTTTAATGTCAACAGATTCTATAAGGTCAATTTACAAATTAGGTCGATTTTTATATTTGGCTTTCAGAGAAAGACAATGATACCATTAAGAAACTAGACTTAAAAATGTTTGTTAAATCTAAATTGTTAAACTTTTGTTCTTCTGGTAAAGTTTGTATGCACCACTATACATGTTTATATTTGTATGGCTATAAATATTGTTTGTATTTAATGCCAATAAAATATTCTGTTCTGTTCTGTTCTGTTCTATTTTCAAAGATGACACGTGTCAGAGATTAACAAAAGGTACTTGTCAGGTGCTAGATATTAACACAAACCACAACATATCAAGAAGTTTGCATAATTGCTCATCCGTGTCGTAATTACAAACGTTTGGAACGTCTCAACGCACTTGTAATTTGTTCTTTTGAGTTACTGTACGCTAGTTTTTTTATTTTTCAATTTACCGATTTTAAGAAAAAAAAGAAAGAAGAAAAAAATGCATTATCGATGGCAGAAAGAAATTTCAGTTTATCCCGATTCAGATAATTTTTTTGCGTACATGGTACTTACCAAAGAAATGAAAATGAATTACATCGCCGATTGTCTAAATTCCTCAGTAATAAATTCATAAAAACACTTGCTCCATGTGTGAAAATAAAATTGCATAAATATAATGAGGTCACTGTTAAATCACACCCATAAAGTTTACACACTAGATGACCTCTAAGAGGTAACCAGCGGTCTCTTCAAAAAAATCTTTGATGTTTACAAACCTGTAGCCCTGCTGTTCATCAAAGGAAGTGCCGACACTTAGATGACGTGTACACAATATTCTATTGAAAAGAAACTGTCATACTTTTTTGTGAAAAAATATTACGCATTTTAAATTATTGTGCAAGAAGATATTTTTATGGGATAAATAGTTTCATTTATTGACATTATAAATCGTGAGTGCATTTGTTTATCTGTGTTACATTCATGTAAAGCTTTATATGTTGGAAGGATTGTGTACATGTTAAACCATTAAAAGCATACGTTTGTAAATGGTTAAAAACTGATGATGATGATGATGATGATGATGATGATGATGAATCAGACTGGTTTATTTATACTTAAATCAGATTTATTTTACAAAGAAATGAATAATTTTTTTGGATAAAAACTAGATCCTCCATTCAGCAGCCACCTGTCTTAAGCAGCCAAAATGACTGCATCCCTTGGCTGGCTGCTTAAGACAGTTTCGACTTTTTATGACTGTTTGTGTTTTCTGGATCTATAGAATTATTACAAAGACAAGTTATCGCTAGCGTTGTTTTCGGATATTTCTATTGAAATCATTCTACAAGTAATGTCTTGCTTTGTATGTCTGTAGGTAATTTATTTTGAGTCTATATTCGGTATTAAAGACTATGCAACTAAACTGTCCAAACCTACTACAGGCAACTGAAATATACGGGTTTCGTACTTCTGCAGAAAGGTCGATTAAAAATAAAATACATAATTATGTTATAAATATATGTTTTTAACATTATAGTATAATCGATAAGTAGGTGTCGGCAATTATTCGCAGTTTTCAAGTTTAATTGATCTTAACAATACCTTCAATCATTTCAATTATCACGCAATTTTGTCCGGTTATTTGCTCTTTTCGAGTTACTCCAGAAGTATACTGCTCACCCGTTATTTCCATTACTACTAATTTCCCCGTTGGCCCCGGAAAAAAAAAACGCATACGAAAAACATGTAGAATTAAATAAATACCGTCCAAACACAAGGATTTAATATTAATTGTGTTTTGTATTAAATATACATCATGAATCTGTTTTAAAATTTTATGCTATAATAGTGTCACTGCACGTTTATTTCATGAACTTATAAAGTCTGCAGAGTCCCTTAGAACTGTTGGAGCCCACGCCCTACCGGGCTAGGGCGCCAACCGTTCCTCGGGACTCTGCGGACATTATAACACGGAAAAACGTGCGTTAACAATATTATATGAA